ACTGCTCTTGCAGAGGACTTGGGTTCAATTCCCAGCACCCACATAGCAGCTACGAACCGTCCTTAACTCTAGTTCCAGGGAAATCTGAAGCCCTCTTCTGACCTCCACGGCATTGCATGACATGGGTGCACTCACATAACATGCAGGCAATACATGCATACACATAAAATAAAAATAATAAAATATTTTTTAAAAAACCCCATAGTTAAAAAAAAAAAGTATATTGCCTGCATGTATGTAAGTATACCTGTCGTGCAAGGCCCACAGAGGTCAGAAGAAGGTGTCAGATCCCCTGGAACTGGAGTTTCAGATGGTTGTTAGCTGGGAATTGAACCTGGATCCTCTGCAAGAGCAGTCAGTGCTCTTAACACCTGAGCTGTCTTTCCAGTCCCTCCTTTGATTCTTTTGAGACTGTAAAGTAGGCAGGTTCTGTTGTACACCAGATCCTAGTTTTTCATACATTGTACTCAGTTTGTGTGGGGCCCAGCTGCTAGAGTTTTCCAGCCAGTTGTTCCTAGCCTGAAATTTTTCTGGCCTTGCTGTTAGGAGCCTGTGGTATTTGAATGCCTGTGAATTCTAAGTACTTTCTGATCTATAAACCCCAATTTCTCTCCAGAGTACAAAGGCACGTTTGAAGGTTACTGAGAAGGAGCTGAAAGACCTGCAGTGGGAACATGAGGTGCTGGAGCAGAGGTTCATCAAGGTGAGCAGATGTGGATGCCTTGGCTGGTCTCTGGGTTTGGCAACTGAAGGTTCTTCTTCCTGTTGCTCATTTTGCACATTTGTTTTGTTTGTTTGGAGATAGGGTCTCACTTTTTGCTCGGCCTGGTCTTGAACTCCTAGGCTCAAGCATCCTCCTACTTTAGTCTCCCAAGAAACTGGGACTATAGGCATGTATGCACGCAACTTTTATAAGGTAAAAACCTGTGATGTGTTTTATAAAAGCCGAGTGTCATGAGGACCAGGCTCCCTGATGGGGAGTGGTCCTTCTGTCTCTTCAAAAGCTGGCCTTCCAACATGTGGAGTAGGCTTGGCCCCTGAAATTTCATCTGTGTGTATATGTTTTGAGTATTAGCCTTTTGCCTACTCATAAAGAAGCCATGCAATAAACCAGGTGTGGTGCATACCTATAATCCCATCTATATAGTTTGAGGTCAGCCTGGGCTATGTGAGGAGAACCTGTCTCAAAAAGGAAAAAAAAAATGATGACTATGATAAAAAAACAACACCCTTTAACCTCAATTCCCAGAGGCCATTTGGTGTGACTTTGTCCTGTTCCCTACACATATGAAAATACTACTGTTTGGAAGGAAATATGACTATGCTACACTGTGACTTTTCATGCAGCAGTGTACCCTTGAGCAGCACCCAAGGTAAAATGTACGTGGTTTCACATTACAGACTCCCACAGATCTACTAACTCCATGTTCAGCAGACTTGTAGTGTTGGTGCCTTGGGCCTCTACAGTTTGTTGAGAAGGCCCATCTCTGTTCTTCCTCCTCATTAATGCTGGCTTCAAACCCAGAGGGAGGAGAACGGGGCCCTGTCTAACATAGTGGGATTCACTGGCAACCCCTTAGGCCCTGCCTTTAGGTTGTCCTGTACAGAGGGACAGTGGCAGAGCTTAGAGAAAGTCACATTCTGTGTGATCCTCAATGTTCTTGAAAGTGACTCTAGATCTGACTTCCAGATGGACTGTTCCAGAGGAACCTGCTCTGGGGAAGATAAGGACAATCCCATTATTGGAATTCTCTAGAGATCATGGTTCACAGATGACATTCTCAGACCATGTGTAAAAGCCTTGAGGCTCTGAGGTGCAGGGTTGACCTTGGCCAGACCTTTGAAAATGCTGGAGCAGGAAGGGGCATCAGCAAGGGACAGAGGAGGATCATGTATCTCTACCACTCACAGGAATTCTCATAAATGCTTTTTAAGTTGAGAGCCTTGATGTTTTACAGTGCAAGTTAATAGGTAGAAGAGTAGGAGATGGAAGGGGATTTCTTACTAGTTGACAGTCAGTTGCTTCAAACTTGCTTTGGATTTGCCTTAGCTCTCACTTGGAGTGATTGGAGATATGTCTTACCCATATGGACCCATGGACCTAACCTGGGCAAGGCTGGCCCTGACCCACATGTCGAGTGGCTTTTGGAGTGTGGCTGCTCCAACTCTTGCTAAGACAACTTTCTGCTTTCTGAGAGGAGCACAATAATACTAACTTTCCCTTCTTGCCTTCTGCTGTATTCACAACTGCCTACTGTGCACAGAGGGTAGGATGCAGGCAGTATAGACAGCACAGGCCCATGTGCCATGGACAGTAGTGAAAGTGACCCTTCTACAGAAGTGACATACTTATGGCTGGGTGGGAAGTGACTTTTCCCCAGTGAGATATACCCAGGTGAGAGGCCTTATTGCCCTTTCTATCCTCATCACCTCCAGGTGCAGCAGGAGAGGGATGAGCTCTACAAGAAGTTCACTGCAGCCATTCAGGAGGTTCAGCAAAAGACAGGCTTCAAGAACTTGGTGTTGGAGCGAAAGCTGCAGGCACTGAATACTGCCATGGAGAAGAGGGAGGTGCAGTTCAATGAGGTGTTGGCAGCCTCCAACCTGGATCCTGCAGCACTAACGCTTGTGTCCCGCAAGCTTGAGGTAGGCCCTGATGGCTTTCTAAGAAGGGCCTGCTGGTGCCCACACTCCTGCCACAGCCATAGCATGTGGCCTTGTTTCCTGTGGTGGGACACTTAGTCCTGTGTTTTGCATTCTCACATGGTACAGAGACACTTTAGTTAACTGTAGGACAGGAGCCGCCATGGTTTCTGCAGCTGAGAACAGGGTATGAACTGCAGGCGTGTATGTACTGGCATTTTCTTTTTCTGGTTTTGCCATCTCTCTTGGGCCGTCCCAGTCCCTAACTCTATCCCTTATCTTCTGAGCCTCTGCTGTTCCAGTTTTGCAGGGCTCACAATGTGCCAGGCTTTGATCACTGAACAGAACCTAGAGACTACTTGGGAGAGAAAGCAATCCTGGGATTCTGTTGATCTAGGTTCCTCTGTTACTTGAGACAGGGGATGGCCCTGCCTCTGTGAATCCCTCAGGATACAGTTGTAGGACATTGAGAGTGACAATGAGGAAGGTTGGACTTTAGGGCCAAGGGGAACTAACCTAGCCCTTGCTGTTTTGGGGTTCTGGGGAGTAAGTTTGGAATGGAGACCAGAACACCAGTCATTCATGTGGCATTATTCTGCTAGGACTATCCTGGGTTTGGGTAGGGATAGTGGTAAATAAAGCAGATGTAACCTCATCCCCCATGAGCCAGCTGGGGACAGAAGGGACTCTGTCATCTGAAAAATCAGGAGACTGCAGCATGTGATAGAACCTTACAGCTCACCTGTTAATTGCTTGTTAAGCTTCACAGTGGGCCAGGTCTTTCTGCCCCCTCTACTTTGCTGGGGGATGGAGAACAGGAGGTTTGGGTAGCACAAGATGAGGGAACCTCTGACTGACATGCATATCAACTGTCTGATGTTACTGGTAGAGGCCAGAATGTGGATAATCCCTAGTAGTCCTGGTGTCTCTTACCTAGGGTCCCTTGGAAAGAGGCATGATTGCTGTACTCTCAAACATGCTGCTGCTTCTGGGATGTGGACAGCTGCACCTGAAACCACAACAGGCCCAGTGAGGGGAGTCCATTTCATCTCAGGGAAGATCCTTTAGGGTAGGAGGGTACCTGGCTGCTCTGCTGCTTGTGCTGTGCTTATAGCAGAGAGACAGACATGTAGCTGCCAATATATGTTAAACATACAAGTTAGCTGAACTTAAATGCCAGTTTCTCACTATAAACTTTAAGCTCAAAGGGTTTACTTTGTGTAAAGTCTATTTGAAGCATTTCATTTCTTTTTGCTCTACTGCCTGTCTACCATCCTTATCTGAGGCATGCATCATTAAGGTGCATTGCAGGGAGCCTTTTGTTGAGCCACCCTGGGGAGCACCAAAGTGTTGGGGGATGCAGGCTAAGAGTGATTGCAAAGGCGTGACAGTTGCATTCATGAGTTTAGTGACAACAGGAAACAGAAGGTTCTGGGTATAAAAGTTGGATCAGAAAGAGCACATTCTGATGGAGCAGGGAGGACTGGTGCAGGGTTAGAGGAGTAGAAAGTCCAAGAGTTGTCAAGAGGCTTACTTGAGAGGACTTACCTGATTGAAGAATGTCCAGGAGGGTCTAAGATGAACATCTAGTCTATTTGACAAATAGACTAGATGTTCATTCACAGGGGAGTAGTGGGTCCTGGTCCAGTGGGTGGTGGTACTTGAGGGACCTGGGTTTCCTGGTAGACTAGTTTCAGGACTTAGTTGGTACCACTATCCAAGGAGGGGCCTTGTTGGACTTGGCAGCAGTGGGGTACTGAGGCTCATTTCTATCTGCTCATTGCCCTGTCCCAGGGCAGGACAAGTGGAGTGTAGGCATGTGAGGAATGAGATCTTGCAATTGGAAAGTGGAGGAGGGACCTGCCTCCCTGGGAAAGGAGCAGCTAGCTCTCAGAGTTAGGCACCACTACGTGCTATGAAGTAACAGGTGTGAGTGTTAAGACTCAGTTGTAGACATTATAGTTAGGGTGCATTTGGTTCTAAATGTGGGGCAGCCTTGCCTCTCCTTTAAGAACTTCTCATGGAAGTGACAAATAGATCATATTCTTTTTTTGTTTTTGGTATTTTTGGTATTTTTGAGACAGGGTCTCTCTGTAGCCCCAACTGGCCTGGTACTCATTATGTAGACCAGGCTAGCCTCGAACTCACAGATCTGCCTGCTTCTGCCTCCTGAGTGCTGGAATTAAAGGCATGCACGACCATGCCCGGCTCGATTATGTTGTTGTTGTTGTTCTTTTTTTTTTTTAATGATTTTTTAAAAAATATTATTTTTATTTTGTGTGTATGCGTATATTGCCTGCATGTGGGTAAGTGTACCTGTGTCATGCAGTGCCTGCGGAAAACAGAAGAGGCTCTCGGATCCCGTGGAACTGGAGTTACGGACAGTTGTTAGCTGCCATGTAGGTGCTGGGATTCAAACCCAGGTCTTCTGCAAGAACAGTCAGTGTTCTTAACTGCTGACCCATCTCTCCAGCCCCTCAATTGTGTTCTTATGCTCTCTCCCCCACAGTGCTTTTTGGTTTGGGAAGGGTTTGAGGGGCTTCTCTGGGCTTTGGCCAGTTGACAGTGCAGATGACTCTAGACCAGGCCAGGTCTGGTTCTTAGTAGGATGCCTATAGCTCCCCTCAGGTTGGAGCCCTAGCTCATGGCATGTGGGGCTCATTCCAGGTGGTTCCCTACAGACCCAGGCCTGTGACATCTGGCCAAGACTATAAAAATTTTAAAGTTATACATTTTTTTTTTCTTTAAAAAGGCTCAGTGTTTGAGAATACTTACTACTCTTTCAGAGGACCTGGGTTCAATTCCTAGCACTCGCATGGTGGCCAACACCTACTCAACTCCAGTTCCAGGGGATCTGATGCCCTCTTCTGGCCTCTGTGGGCATCAGGAAAACACATGGTACACTTAGATACATGCAGGTAGAACACTCATACACATAAAATAAAAGTAAAATCTTAAGAAAAAAATTAGATTGAGAGCAGTAGAGCATGATACCCAATGTCAACCTTGGCCTACATACACACATGCATGGGTGCATGCACCAGTACATGTGCCTGTGCCTCTCTCTCTTCTCTCTCTCTCTCTCTCTCTCTCCCTCTCTCCCTCTCTCTCCCTCTCTCTCCCTCTCTCCCTCTCTCTCCCCCTCTCTCTCTCTCACATACACACACACACACACACACACACACACACACCTGCCTCATCTTGGCGCTCTGAGCATCATGGGTGTGCAGGCAGTACAAGGGCTCTTGCTGTCCATTCTTGCTTATCCTTTTGAGATCTTTCCTGCTGACAAATTTCTATGGATGCATACATGGGTTGAGGTTGAGCCAGACTGCTCTTCCATGGGCCGCTCAGACCCTGAGGGAACCCCTAGACCACTGTCTACCCTATTTGCCTCTGCCAGAGGACAAATGTCAAAGTACCTCCCTCTCTCTTCTTAGGATGTTCTGGAATCAAAGAATACCACCATCAAGGACTTGCAGTATGAGCTGGCCCGGGTCTGCAAGGTATGGCTGTCTTTCTACTCCCAGGGCCCCACCTTCCCCCTCAGGCCCCACCTTCCTTCACACAGGTCTTCTCTGTTTTGGCTGTGCCCTTGTATCCAGCTTTAGCTTTGAACATTATAAATGAAGGGCCTCTCAGGACCTCACCCATTTCTCCTGTATATTTCATTCTGGAGGCAGGTATGGTAATTCCCATGTGATGTGCAGATACAACCCCAGGACCCGAGAGTGACCCTGTTCTGGTGTGGCTTATAGGCCTGCCCAGTGCACATTTAAGGCTCTGCTGCCTGCCATGTTCCAGTCTGCCTGTCTTGCTTTCACCTTACTTTGCTCACTTGGCCTCTAGGGAAGTTGGAGAGGCCTCTCCAACTACAAATTAATGCCTACTTCCTTCAGCGTGGGATAGTTAGGCTCCTCAGTTTTTCTGTCCCCTTTGTGAATCTAATGAAGCTCCACACCTTACATGATGAATGTGTGTATTAACAGACTCTGTCCCATGCACCTGAGAGAGGTCTGGGTTCTGCACCCAGGTGTCCCTAAGTGGCCACTCTGTATGCACTTAACCCACTGTCTGGTCAGGAATTTTCCAAGAGCAGCTGCCTCTCAAGTCACATTTTGTAGGATGGGCATTGCATCCCTGTTCTCTTGTTTAGGGCCATATCCAGACATTCTTGTCATCCTATTTGATTTATCTTTCTGTATTTTAAATCCTGGACACAGGTAGACAGTGCCTGTTACTGGTTCCCAGGCTCCATGCTGGCCAAACTGCCCCTGGCTTCTCAGCCCTTTATAAACTAGAGACCAGACTCTAGCTCTCCCCATCATACTTTTCTCTCAGATGACACTGAGCAAAATTAGGGCCATCTGCTGTGTGTACAGTTCTTGGGGGGTAGGGATATCCTTGTCTTTTTATCTGATTTGGGTGTCTGAGCCTAAGAAGCGAAAACCAGTGCCCAGCCTCTAGGTTCTCTCTGGAGCCCATCCCTGTTTTACCTTTTGCTCTTGATTCCAAACACTGGTTCTTTTCTGAACCGTAGTGAGGATAATGAACCCTGTGATCATTTGCTGTGGATCAAGCCAGACTCCAAACATTATCATATCAATTAATTAACAGTCGTATTCCCAGCACTTGGGAGGCTGAAGCAGGAGGAACATGAATTCAAGGATAGCCTAGGCTGTCTCAAACAATTGAAGAAAACAAGTCATCAAATCTTTACAACTACTCAGTTGAATTTTCCCTTTTAAAAATGTGCGTTTTGGGCTAAGTATGGTGATACATGAATTAAATCTTTAATCCTGGCACTCAGGAGGCAGAGGCAGGTAGTTCTCTGTGAGTCAGAATTTAGTTTGGTCTACATATCAAGCTGCAGGCCAGCCAGAGCTACATAGTGAGATCCTGTCTCAAAAAAACGAAAAAAAAAAAAAAAAAGAAAGAAAGAAAGAAAAATGCATTTGGGGGCCTGGAGCGATGTCTCAGTAGTTAAGAGCACTTGAAGACTTGCAGCTCTTGCAGAGGACTAAAGCTTGGTTCTTAGCATCACTGTTGGTCAGCTCACAACCACCTCTTAAGTCCAGCTCTAGGGGATCCAACACCCTCTTTTGGCTTCTTGCAGATACCTACACCCATGTGCATATACCCACATATCAGCACATATACATAGAATAAAAAAAAAATCTAGGTATAATAGATGTAACAGGACCTCGGAGTAGTGGTCAGGTGGCAGTATTGAATTACCAAAGACAAGGTGAGCGTACTTATCGCAATAGGTGGCCAAGGCAAAACAATACCTATAATGGCATGACCCGAATGGACCTGTGGTACTGGCTAATCTATCATGGTGTTCCCAGGGACCAAATACATAAGAAGACTATTAAGTTTTTATTTGAACCGTGTAAGCTGAAAAGCTCTAGGACAAATGACAGGAAGTCAGTATTGGATCATAGCAATAGAGAATCCTGCTCACTCAACCAATTTGAGACAGTTTACAGACCCAGAACCCCTTGAATGAAGGGAAGGCCAGGTGCCCTTGAGGAAGGACCTTGTCCCAGTACCAAAGAGTTATGCTGTTTACCTTTCCCCCATTCTTCCCCAGAGGGACCTGCAGCCTTTTACTAGAGTAACTGTACACTGGGGAAAAGGAAATAATGAGACTTTCCGAGGCCTATTGGATACTGGTTCTTAGTTGGCACTGATTCCGGGAGACCCTAAAAAGCATTGTGGCCCTCCAGTTAAAGTAGGGGCTTGTATGGAGGTCAGGTGATAAATGGAGTTTTGGCTGAAGTCCAACTGACAGTGGGTCCAGTGGGTCCCCAAACTCATCCTGTGGTTATTTCCCCAGTACCAGGACGTATAATTGGGATAGATATACTTAGGAATTGGCAGAATCCCCACATTGATTCCCTGACCTGTGGAGTGAGGGCTATTGTGGTTGGAAAGGCCAAATGGAAACCACTGGAATTGGCTCTGCCAGGGAAAATAGTGAACCAAAAACAGTATCGCATCCTTGAAGGATTGCAGAAATTAGTGCTACCATCAAGGATTTGAAAGATGCAGGGGTGGTGATTCCCACCACATCTCCCTTTAACTCTCCTGTTTAACCTGTGCAGAAGATAGATGGGTCATGGAGAATGACAGTTGACTATCAAAAACTTAATCAAGTAGTGACTCCAATTGAAGCTGCTATACCAGATGTGGTTTCCTTACCCGAGCAGATTAATACATCTCCTGGTACCTGGTATGCAGCTATTGATTTGGCAAATGCTTTCTTCTCGATACCGGTTCATAAGGACCACCAGAAGCAATTTGCTTTCAGCTTTCAAGGCCAACAGTATACCTTTACTGCCTTGCTTCAAGGATATATTAACTCTCCAGCCTTGTGCCATAACTTGGTTTCAAGGGATCTTGATCGCCTGACTCGTCCACAAAATAACACACTGGTCCACTATATTGATGATGTTATGCTGATTGGATCCAGTGAACAGGAAGTAGCAAACAGTCTGGACTTGTTGGTAAAGCATATACGCATGAGAGGATGAGGGAAATAAATCCAACAAAAATTCAAGGCCTTCTGCCTCAGTGAAATTTCTAGGAGTTTAATGGTGTGGAGCATGCAGAGACATTCATTCTAAGCTGAAGAATAAGTCGTTGCACTTGGCCCCTCCCTCCACCAAGAAAGAAGCACAACGCTTAGTGGCCCTGTTTGGATTCTGGAGGCAGGACATTCCTCATCTGGGTGTGTTACTGCGACCCCTATATCAAGTGACTCAGAAGGCAGCTATGTTTGAGTGGGGCCTGGAACAGGAAAGGGCCCTTCCACAGGTCCAGGCTGCTGTGCAAGCTGCTCTGCCTCTTGGGCCATATGATCCAGCAGACCTGATGGTGCTTGAGGTATCAGTGGCAGATAAAGATGCTCTTTGGAGTCTCTGACAGGCCCCCATAGAGGAATCACAGCAGAGGCCATTGGGATTTTGGAGTAAGGCTTTGCTTTCATCTTCAGACAACTATTCTCCCTTTGAGAGACAGCTCTTAGCCTGCTATTGGGCCTTAGGGAGCTGCCCAACATGAGTTGGGTGTTATCTGACCCCCTAAGCCATAAAGTAGGACGTGCACAGCAACAATCCATTATCAAATGGAAGTGTATATATGTGATCAGGCCCGAGCAGGCCTGGAGGGCATAAGCAAGTTACATGAAGAAGTTGCCCAAATGCCTATGGTTCCTACTCCTGTTACAATGCCTCCTGTTCTCAAGCATGCACCTATGGCTTCATGGGGTGTGCCCTACGATCAGTTGACTGAGGAAGAGAAGACTAGGACTTGGTTTACAGATGGTTCTACACGCTGTGCAGGCACCACTCAGAAGTGGACAGCTGCAGCATTACAGCCAATTTCTGGAACAACCCTGAAGGACACTGGTGAAGGAAAGTCTTCACAGTGGGCAGAACTTCAGGCCGTGCACATGGTTGTGCATTTTGCTTTGAAGGAGAAATGGCCAAAAGTGCATTTATATGCTGATTCATGGGCTGTAGCCAATGGTTTGGCTGGATGGTCAGGGACTTGGAAGGAACATGACTGGAAAATTGGCGAGAAAGACATTTGGGGAGGAAGTATGTGGATAGATCTCTCCAAATGGGCAAAGGATGTGAACATAACTTGTGTCTTATGTAAATGCTCATCAAAAGGTGGCTTCAGCAGAAGATGAGTTCACTAATCAAGTAGATCTGATAACCTGTTCTGTGGATAGTCAGTCTCTTTCTTCAGCTAGCCCTGTCATTGCTCAATGGGCCCATGGACAAAGTGGCCATGGAGGCAGAGATGGAGTGGCCATGGGCTCAACAGCATGGGCTCCCACTCACAAAAGCTGACATGGCTACAGCTGCTGCTGAGTGCCAGATCTGCCAATAGCAGAGACCAACACTGAACCCCCTGTCATGGCACTATTCCCTGTGGTAACCAGCCAGCAACCTGGTGGCAGGTTGACTACACTGAACCACTTCCATCTTGGAGGGGACAGTACTTTGTCCTTACAAGAATAGACACTTATTCTGGTTATGGATTTGCCTTTCCTGCATGTAATGCTTCTGCCAAAACTACCATCCAGGGACTTACAGAATGCCTTATCCACTGTCATGGTATTCTGCACAGCATTGCTTCTGAATAGGGAACTCACTTCACAGGCAAAGAAGTGTGACAGTAGGCCCATGGTCATGGACTCCACTGGTTTTACCATGTTCCCCACCATCCTGAAGCAGCTGGCTTGATAGAATGATGGAATGGCCTCTTAAAGACACAGTTACAGTGACAATTAAGTGGCAGTAGCCTGGAGGTCTTGGGCAGGGTCCTTCAGAAGGCAGTTCATGCTTTGAATCAGCATCCAATATATGGTACGGTTTCTCCTATAGCCAGGATTCACAGGTCCAGGAATCAAGGGGTGGAAGTGGGAATGATTCCACTCACTATCACCCCTGGTGACCCACTAGGAAAAGTTTTGCTTCCTTTACCCTCAACTTTGCGCTCTGCTGGCTTAGAAATTTTGGTTCCAGAGGAGGGAGTGCTTCTGTCAGGAGACACAACAAGCATTCCTTTGAACTGGAGCTAAGACTTCCCCCTGGTGAACACTTTGGGCTTCTGATGCTCTTAAGTCAACAGGCTAAGAAAGGAATAACAGTATTAGGAGGGGTGATTGACCCAGACTACCAGGGGGAAATTGGACTGGTTTTCCACAATGGAGGTAATGAAGGTTATATCTGGAAGGCAGGAGATTCCTTAGGGAATGGGAAACTGTACCAACACAACCCAGACAGGACAACAAATGGCCCAGACCCTTCAGGGATGAAAGTATGGGTCACTCCTCTAGGGAAAGAACCAAGACCTGCAGAGATGCTTGCTGATGGTGGAGGAAATACAGAATGGTTAGTAGAGGAAGGTAGTTACAAATATCAACTTAGGCCACGTGACCAGTTGTAGAGAAGTGGATTGTAATTGACATGAATGTTTTGTCACAGCAATGGAGAAACAAACTAGGACACATGACTTTTGAGGCATTGGTGGCACATGCCTTTAATTGCAGGACTTAAGAGGCAGCCAAGGCTACATAGTGAGACCCTGTCTCAAAAACAAAGCACAAAACAAAAAAAAATTTTTTTTCAGGTGTGTTGGTGTATACTTATAATCTCAACACTCAGGTAACTAAATCAGGAAGGTCTTGAATTCTAGGCCATTGTGGGTGACACAGCAAGTTCTAGCCAGCCTGGCCTATAAAGTGAGATCTAGTCTCAAACAAACAAACAAAAAAAATCAAATACCAAAAACAAAATTAACATTTTTATAGAGGGATGCCTGGAAGATGCTGGTTTGCCCACCAGTTCTATTTTCCAGGTCTAGGCCCCTCCACGTGTAGCCTCACACAGCCTCTGCCACTGATATATATTTAGAGTCACTTCCTCATTGGGAAGTGCTTGGTAAGGGGCCAGGAATCCACTAAGCTTATAGTTCTCCTGAGTCTCCCTGTTGTGAATTACCTAAGTTGATGGGCATAAAAATGTCGGCACTAGTCTGGCATACAACAAACCACTGCCAAATGTTTATTTTATTCCTTTGTACCACCCTGCTGGGTCCAGCCCTCCCACTCTGCATCTACGTAGGATGACATCTATCTCTAGATGGGCCATGGCATGTTGGCCACAGTGCCCAGACCCAGTGGACTCCTCCTCTCCCTGACACTACTCTGTCTCTGCAGGCCCACAATGACCTGTTGCGCACATATGAGGCGAAGTTGTTGGCGTTTGGGATCCCCTTGGATAATGTGGGGTTCAAGCCCCTGGAGACAGCTGTGATTGGACAGGCACTGGGCCAGGGCCCTGCAGGACTTGTGGGTGCCCCGACGTAGCTACCTTCTGGGTACTGCACCTCAGAGCTGACCTGCTTCACTCTTCAACTGACACCCCTTTCTATACCAAGGACAGTAGGTTTTTGTTTTGTATCATCAGCAATGAAGTTTTTTCCATGTTTCCTTTGTGTTCTGTTTCTGTGGGGAAGAAATGCCCTCAGGGCTTCTACCAAGTCTCTCTGCCTGCCTGCTTCCTGGGTACTGACCAGTCTGTGCCACATTTGCTCCTCAGAATCCCACCATTGACCTTTATAGCCCCTTCTCCAAGGGCCCCTCTAGACCCTAACCTCTCCAGCAAAAGGGTGTCCTTTGATGAGCATGAAGCCCATGCTGTTGAGTTGGATGGGCAGCTCAGCCAGAGAGAGGTGCCGGCAGACCACCTCACTTGGGCCAGGCTCTGCACAACCTCCCTGGTAGATGGTATAGGACCACAGGCGCAGCAGCAGCATCTGAATCTTTGTGATGGTGAAAACCTGAGGGAGGCAGAGAAGGCACTGGAAGAGGTGAATGACCTCAGTACAGGAGCTGCTTGGTCCCAGTGCTCTCTGGGAGAATTTATCAACCCTTCCCTGGGCCTGGGTTAGCTGGGGCCCAGTGGAAACAATGACATCTTTTCTGAAGATCAAGGCCTCCTTGGACAATTTCATGGAATCTGGAGTTCATGAATCTCCTAGATGATGGCAGTACCCAGTGAAGGAGGAGAAACAAGGTAAGGCCACCCTGTGAGTTGGAGTCTGTTCAGATGAGAACTTGTAGACAGAGGGTGATGAGTACCTCCTGACTGGCCTCCTGCAGAGCCTGAGCTGGGAGCAGCTCAAACAGGTTATGCCATCATGAAGTATAACCGTATCTCAGATTCCCAAACATCTGTCAGCTCAGCCATCTGCTACTGCCCTAAGAGGTCACATTGGTTAGGGATTGTACCTTAACCTACCTGCAGTCCTCACCTCTGTTTATGGTAGAGGCCATCCTGCACTCTTTCCTTTCAGTAAGCCTTGGTGTTAGCTTGTAGGTACCTGGCTTTATCTGGAACTGGCATTAGGAGCTGTATTAGTTACTTTTCTGTTGCTGTGATAAAATACCATGACCAAAAGCAACTTAGAGGAGGAAAGGGTGTGTTTTTCCTACAGTCCAAGATGGGAATACAGTCCTTTATGACATGGCAGCAAGAATAGGAGGCAGGTCAGGAAGCAGAGAGCTCTCATTTCATCTGCACATAGGAAACAGAGAATTGGAAGTGGGGCCAGGCTATAAAATCTCAAAGCCCGTCCCAGGTGATGTACTTCCTCCAGCAAGGCTCCACTTCCTAAAGGTTCCACAACCTTCCCAAACTGCCACCAGGTGGCACCAAGTGGTCAAATACATGAACCTATGGTGGGAGGGGGGCGCCTTTCATTGAAGCCACCATAGGAGCCCGTGGCAGTGGCTGTTCAGGTATGTGTAGCTGGGGAGAGGACAGGGATACAGATCCCTCCTGGGACTGCCTCCATACCTGGCCAAGGTGAGCAGAGGTGGTTGGACAGTTTCTAAAAATACCACCTCACGGCCAATTTAGGAAATCAGTATAGAGAAGCAAAAGGGAAGAGGTCTTCAGTGTACCCTATGGGAAATAATCACTTTAAAATTTTCATTTTTCTAGATTTTTCTCTATTTACAAACTTTTTTGTTTTTGAGATAGAGGCTGCCCTGGGCTACTTAGCAAAACCCTAGCTGTGATAATCCTGATTCAGCCTTGAGTGCTGAGAATAGAGGTCTGTACTTTCACTCTTGACTGCAAATATTTTTTTTTTGATTTATTGATTTTTATTCATGAGTATTTACCTGCATGTATGTATGTGAACCATGTGTGCAGTGCTTACCAAGGCCAGAAAAGGGCATCAGATACCCTAGAATTGAAGTTATAGATGGTTCTGAGCAGCTGTGTGGTTGCTGAGAACCAAGCCCAGGTCCTCTGGAAGAGCAGTCAGTACTTTTAACCATGCAGCCATCTGTCCAGTTGTAGCTAAAATTCCTTCTGGGAGGCACAAACAACATCCGGCCCCCTCCTCCCTTGGTCCCTATGACAAACCAAAATTCAATTTCACTAAACTTCAGTCTGGGAAGCCAGTAAGTTTATTTGGCTTATAGAGCAATGGATGAGGGTTTACTTAGAGAAGTAAGGGTTTTCCCTTCCTAAGGCTGCACTGGAAAGTCTCTATCCCGGCATGTATTATGACTTCCCTGCAGCTGCACAAAACAGGGAGAGACCCTCCCCACAGCTTCCTCAGTTTATATGCCCTTTTCCCTCCCCCTTGGTGCATCTGGTTGGTGCTGACTGGTTGGTTGGGAGGTGTGGCTGACTTTCCCTGCCCCTCTCTTGCTGAGAGTAACAGTCAACAGCTTAGCTGTGATGATCCTATCCAAGCAGGTGCAACCAAAGCTTGGGAAGATGGCATCTGTCCATGGTCTGCCTGTCAGAGGACAGTCCTATGCAACACCAGCCCTACAAACAAAAAGTGTATTTAATTTTTAAAAAATCTTTGAGACAGGGTCTCCCTGCAGCCCCAGCTGGCCTGACACTATGTAGACTAGGCTGGCCACAGAGATCTGCCTACCTTTGCCTCCCAAGTGCTGGGATTAAAGGTGTGTACCACCACACTCAGCTTTTTATTTTTATATGTGTGAGTGTTATACTTGCATGTATATAAGTGCACCCATGTCATACAGTACCTGTGGAGGACAGAAGAAGGCATTTGATCCCTGGAACTGAAGTTGTGGATGGTTGTTAGCTGCCATGTGGGTGCTGGGATTTGAACCTGGGTCTTCTGCAAAAGCAGCCAAGTGCTCTTAACTGCTGAGCCATCTCTCCAGCTTTCCTTACATTTTTTTTTACAAAACAAAATTTTATAAGCTGTGTTTTCATGTGTGTGTGTGTGTGTGTGTGTGTGTGTGTTTGTGTGTGTGTGTATGTTTATGGGTATGTGTGCAGGTTGTTAGTCTCAACATCATACTTTGAGACAGGGTCTTTGAACTTAGTGCTTACTGTTTTGAACAGACTGGTCAGCCAGTAAGTCCTAGGGATTCATTTGTCTTTGCCACCCCCCCCCCAGTGCTGGGTTACAGGTGTGTGCTGCTATGCCTAGCTTTTTATCTGGGTGCTGGGGATTAAACTCAGGACTTTATGCTTGCATAGTAAACACTTTAGCCCACTCAGCCATCTCCCCAGCCCCTATTTGTTTTGAAACAGTATGTTCTGCTTGGCTTTCTAGATCAATTCCTACCTAACCTCCTTTGTGTGGTGGTCTGTTTTAAACTGCGTGGAGTGTCTGCATGGGCTGAATCTCTGTTCCAGGATTCTAAAGACCTCAGTTTTGCTCAGACGCTACCAGAAAACCCCCACATTGTTCTGACCAGTTGGACCTTAGTGTCCCACCGTGATTAGAAGAGCAGGGATGTGCATGCACACTAGTAACATTGGCTACTGGGAGTCTTGCTCTGGTGTATTGGAAGTTTTTTTCTCCTCTTGGCGAAGTTGCATTTTTAATTATTGGATTGGACAGTGAACATGGGTTATTTGTAGGTTAGAAATCAGACCTTTGTTGGCTAGGAGGAGTTCCCTTTATCAAAGACTGGGAATGTTCAGTCAAAAGGTCTTGGTACGTAGGGAGCATCTATTTGAGGTATAAACATATTTGGCATGGCTTGTTCAAGAAAATGGCCCCAAGGGATGCTCACTCCTGTTGTAGCAAATGCCCATGAGTGCCAGAGACCAGCAACAACCAGTCGGGCTCCACTGGAGATCAATTAAATACGTGAATTGGCCACACACAAACAAGATCTGTAGCCATTTATCAGGAATGAGGTCCATTTGTGTGTTTAAGATGAAATACAGTCTCCTACATCTAGTGCTAAAAATAGCATGTAAATAGCATGGAGTAAGCTTGGGAAGTGGCTTGGTGGCATAGTGCTTACCTAGCATGCACAAGACACTGATACAGTTTTTTTTTTTTTTTGAGTAAAAAACAAAGGGCTGGGGAGATGGCTCAGCAGTTAAGAGCATGGTCTGCCCTAACCCTGGGTTAGGGTTAGGGTTAGGGTTAGGGT